GTTGATTTCCTGCCACGTCTTGTTTCGGTTTGTGTTGGCATCCTGCGAGACTCTAGTCAAAAGCTATTAAAACCCCACATACCACGAACAACCCGAGCAACAACCCGAAACTAAGCGACTAAAAAACCTTAAAAAGCAGAAGCAAAACATTCTAGTAAGTAACAAGCTAGGTTTGCAGCCCATGTCTGAGTTTTAAGACAACAGAATACCCCAAAAAATCCGAGCAACCATCCGAAACTAAGCGATTAAAGCAACTTCAAAGCGGAAGTAAAACTCTAGTGTAAAGCTAGCTAGGATTTGCTGGCATGGTTTTGTCGTTGTTGGCGAGAGTCAGAGAGTTTGAGGGGTCCGGGTTTGGTTTCGGGGTCTCGGTGTCCCTGTACAGGGCCAAACCGAAGTCATTTCATCACAGCCCTGTACAGGGCCGTGCATGAAGTTGCTGTGTCTCGGTGCGTGCACGTGCGTGTGGGTGTGGGTGTGCGTGTGCGTATCGAACATGAAGTTGCAGAAGTGGCATGCAAGCGGTTTCGGCCTTTTTTTCCACCACTGAGCACAGCCAAAACTTCGATCCGAGCCATCTTTTCGGTGACTCGGAGACTGCACAGCAACATCGCCGGATCTTTCCAAACTTTTGGCACCGAAACTTTTTTGACACCGAGTGCAAACACTGCAACCCTACTTGCCGGCGATCTTGCTTTCGAGCTCGCTGCACATGTTGGCCTTCATTGACATGACCTCTTCCAGGGGAGTGCCATCTCGCAGGAACTTGATCAAGACCTCGGCGACCTCAGTATTCTGCTCGAAAGAGGCACCCTTGGCTTTGACTTGCAGCACCTGCCCACCACTTGTTCGCGATATCGCCATCGCCTGCGTCTTGCGGTAGGGTCGGAGCTTGTAGCCGCGGTTCTCGCCCTCGTGCTGGTCCTGGTGCTCGTTCTCGGCTGCAGGTCGCTTCATCCCCTTGGATGGATTCTTCTTCTCCTTGGGCGGATTCTTCTCGCTCTGCTCGGACGGATTCTTCTCCTTCGGCGGATTCTTCTCGTTCTGCTCGGACGGATTCTCCTTCGGCGGATTCTTCTTCTCCTGCTCGGACGGATTCTCCTTTGGCGGATTCTTCTTCTCCTTGGGCGGATTCGTCTTCTTGGGTTGGGCCTTCTCCTTGGGAGTGCTCTTCTTCCTCTGCTTCTCCACGGGCTTCTTAACGGGCTCAGCCTCACCTTGTGACGAGGAGTCGGAGAGGTCGTTGTTGTTCGCCAAAAACATGATATGCAGGCTTGAGGGCAGGACGGGGCAGCGACAACTCGAGATTAAACAGGCTGGCGAAGCCAAGCAAAGGAAACGTGTGCAAACTGCAAACAGCCCACAGGCCACAAGCAACTCAACATCAGGACTCGCAAAGGCAAGGCAACTCACCAGCTTGTTGAGTCGTCTTCTCAGCCACAGGGCGGCTTGAAAGATTACGGATGAAGCACTGCGAACTGTCGTCCAGCACATGCAAGCTGACTTTGNNTTCCAACTTGATTATCATTATATGTGCAGCATGCCGACATGTACTTCAGAGCACGTGCTGAGACATGACAGAAACAAAACCGCGGCTTCGAACTGTCCTGAAAGTAAAAGGCTCATGTGACTTTGTAGAAGAAGCCTGGTTCGAGGTGCGTCTTGGCGGTCAACACCAGCTTCGGTTTGCTGGGCTTCACCAAGGCTGGGGGCTGGCTCTGCAAAGNNGCATCGCCATACGATCTTCACGTGCCTCAGCTCTGTGATGCGATGGAAGTTGCCAATGAAAGCTGCTCCAGCCACATCCCTCTTGAGGATCCCCTCTGCGAATTGGTCGTCACTGAGGGCTCCGGGGTTGTAGATGATCCAAGAGTTCTCCTCGGGCTCCAGTTCGCTTCTCATGAAGATCTCGTTCTCCCCGTCCTGTAATGTTTCGTTCGGAAACCCTTAAACCCCTAAACCCCTA